TGCGTGTGCGCGATTAAGTCCGAACGACCTTCCGGCCCCTCGTTCGCGTGAGCGTGAAACGAATCTGTACCTAAAACGAGAATTCGATGCACGAACGTGTTAAGTTTTGCATCGATTGTACCGTTTGATGGTCGGTCAAAAACTGATCGGCGGCTGCTCGTCCGCGTTCATGCCGCTTGATAACACACCCGTGATTCTGGGTCGGCGATCAATCATGAAACCTCCGCGTTATTGCTGTTAAAAGGCAAGTTTCATGATTCGATGTTTCGGAGTCGATCACTAATGCGTGCTCGAACGCGTTCGAGGATCGGAGATCTCTCTTTTCATTTTCTCCTGAATCGTTTTCGAATAATTCGTACTGTTTGTAAAACAGTGTAAAAATTCCTTGACGCGATTAAAAGAAATATCTTTTGACCTAAAATGTGATAAAAAAATTTCTGGGCCAAAAAAAAAAACCACTCGCATCCCCTTCGAAGTAGTCAAGGTTAAATAAAAATCGACGCGACACACAAAAGCTAGCGACGAGACTGCGGCCGTTTCCGACGTTTCGCAAATTTATATCGCTTGTGCGAAAATTTACAGGCGCACGACTATTCCAGCGAGCTGCATATTTTTTTTTCTCCGATCGGCCCATTGTCCGCGCGCGATAACACCGAGAACACATCAGCGCATCGATCTCTCGTTTCGTCCGTTTATTACGCGATAAAAGCGATAAAACGTACAATATGCACGGAGAAAATGCTAGTAATTCGCACTTCTTCGCATGTTTCCACGCCACTTTACACAGACGTATTGATTTTGTTCGACGTTATCGCTGATCATCAGTCAGTTTCGTATCATTGTAATGCGTCGCTGCCAACAAAACGGTCGCATTTCCGATGCGACGTTAGTTCCGGCACTTCCGTTACTTGAGCTCTTTATCCTCGGTAAGCCGACCGGTAAGCGCCAGCGGACATTCCATTCGTAGGAGCAATTTTAGAAAACTCGTTATTTTGCGTCGGCTTATCCGTTTCCTACCCTCTGCATCGTAAAGGTGGCTCTTAACGTTATGGTCATACCATTGTGTCGTTCGCGTGCGCGTAACCCGCGCTGAGACGCCCACAGGGCATTTTTCATCAACGATGCTAAGAGCTCGCTTTACGCCACTTCCAACGTTTACAACTCTAATTCTCAAACGTACCGAGCCGTTACTAGACGGAAGAGATAAAGATAATTCGGCCGGCCGCGCGATTGCGAGAATGGAGGACCTCGGCGGCAGACAATGGCGGCTTTTATGATCCATCTCCACGATCGGAATCCCCGGAAAGAACACTCTCATCCGTGGCACTTTTCCTAGCACTGTACGACTATGTACTTTCACTTGTTCGCAACCCTCAGAGTAATACAAATTTCGAAAAGATTAAATATTTCATTCATAGAAATGTGTTCAATAATTATAATTAATAATTGGCATAACACTTTTGCATGTCGTAAATTAATTTCGTGGCGCAATTGTATAGCAATATTTTAATGTTCTATATGTTACTATTATACGAATTTTTAAATCTGGTTAAATCTTCTACGAATAATATGATAGATAATTGGGAGCGACAATTTGCATTACAAACATGATGCGACGAAATCAGCTAGACGGAAGTATCATGTGTTTACTTGATCCATCTATGCTTTATGGCACTCTAAAAGGATCTTCTAACGTTCTAAAGTTCTAAATTGCTTCGTCTATATAAGCTTATATTGCGTAATTACACGAGTATCAAAGTCCTGAACGTACTAATAACTACCTACAGTTAAACGAGCTAGTTGACTTCGTGTGAAAGTTTATTTTCATCAAAAAGTTCAACGCATCTTCGCCATCTTGATATAGAAATTCATAAAAAACCACAATGCAGAGATAAATAGATGAAGTATTAAAGAGAAATAAAGCAATTAATTTTCTAATTTGAGTCGCGATATACGTACGATTTTTAGCCATCACAAAGAAAACTTAATTTAGCTATTTTTGTTGAAATAAAAACTACAGAGTAATACTATTCTATCTTTGTAATATTAAGAATTTCGAAAGCGATTAATATTCCATTAAAGAATGCGAAACTAACCATTCACGTTATCGTCGCAACTATAGAATCTGCATGCGTTCTCTCCTCTGCTTCTATATTTATCAAATGTGAATATGATAAATATAGAAGCAGAGGAGAGTAACATCGAGGTGAGAGAGATATTTATATTCATGACCAAACAAGCGTAGATACTCGTCTTTTAGCATCAGCAATATTTATCGCCGGTAAATATGACGGAAATCTTTCATTGAATTCCTCGCTTCACTCGACGCGCGCGCTTTCATTTTTCTTTTTCCCTATCATCACTCCTCTTTCGACACTCTTTCCGTTCTTATTTTCATCTAACATCGCGCGACAATCTTGTTCGTGCCTATGCCTGCAGGGATAAAAGAATCCGTCGCAACGCGATTTTCGCGACGTGGGAGAATGTCGTGCGACCGCGAGAGAAAAGCGCTTTGAGCGGCACATGATGAATCGTCGACGGTGAAAATTTGCCGCATGGGTCGCAAAGAAAAAAATTGCAGTCACACGAGGACAAAGTGCTAGCGACTTGAAATACTTCAACAATGACATGCTCTATACAACTATATTGGGCAATTAATCGAGTAAAAAAAGAGCTAAAGAGAGAAAGAGAGGGTGAGTTTTTGTCACCGTAGAGATTATAAGTAAAGATCAAAAGTCGGATTGATTGTCTTCTTCATTCTTATCGAATCGGATTTATACCAACTTGAAAGAACTTTTTTTTTTACTCTGTAGATGTATGTAGATGAACGGCGTACCCTTTCACATGACGGTAAAATACTGGTTCGCACCGTTCACGAGTCGCTCGGAAGTGCACTGAAAATTACACGGGCTCATAACTTACGGCGAATTTATACCTCGCCCCGCGATATATGTGTATATCGAGCCACCACCACCGATCTAATTGGCATACACATTAATACAAGTGCATTAACAGAGCTGCGATTAATTACCCGTCTACGACGTGCTGCGCGGTCCAAAATATTTCCTGTACACTGATAAATTGACTGCGCGCGACGGCGCGTAGCGAGGGACGCGATTAAACAGCGAGTGAAAATATGGCGGTATTGCTTTTTCCAACTCAAGTCCGCGACGCGCGCGATTCTTTTTGCCCGCGTCCGAATTTTTTCGCTCGCTACCTAACACGGTCGGGCTGCGTTACTAAATCTGACCGAAATCACTTGGCATTTCCATATTAATAGTAATACGCTGCGCGTATGCGATAGATCGTGTTTGCTTTTCCATCACGCTAAATATCTATATCGCGATGAAATGTGTTGCACAGTGTATTACCATGTCGCGAATGTAATCATACCGTGTTTGAACATGTAAATTCGAAACGGTGCATCGCATCAATAGTGAGATGTGCGCATACCGTGACAATGAGAGAATCAGCACGCAACCGTCAATTTTTGCAAATTTTTTTACGATTTTGCATTCGTTAAACATTCCTGAAAAATAACGTCGCTTCCATCGGCTTTAATACTATAATCAAATATCTTTAATAATCCCCGGCTGGCGAAGCTTACGGAGGCTTGTCTCGAAGAAATAATGTCGGCGCGTCGAAATCTGCTTAACGGAGCGATTAGCATGTACTCCGTAATAAAGCAACGGGTAATAATTTTCAGTATGTGAATAGCAGTCAGAAGCCTGCCGTAATTAATTCTTCCGTGTTATAACCGGCAGCGCATTTTGGTTTCCTCGAGATTGCAAACTGCGAGCACCGCGGACCACTGTATATACCATTTATATTTAAGTAGACATTACACGAGTCGCTTAATTTGAAAATGGAATGAGTCTTTTTAAAACATCACAAATTTTCACAAAAATAAACCGATGTAACATATGCGTTTTAAAAGGTATTTTGTAACTGAGTCTACGAGCAATGTGCGTCATATTCGTGAATAAACTTTCAATAAACATCAATATATTTGATAACTGATATAGTCTTAATAATTATTCCAACATCGTTTTAAATTTCATGGTTACTATCGTCGTTTTCCGCGCAACCTAATTGATAATATGATGGTAGATATCTATAAACGATGTATAACAGAGAATTAGTACCACCTATTAGTAATACTATCGCCCAGAGCGAGTTTAATCATCATGCGTACACTGCTGCACATATGCACACAAATTATTATCCTACCTTTAAATTATTATCATCTACGTGTATACTCATTACCTGTAATACGCAATGTACAATGCAACATCCGACACGTAGAATGAAATACTTATAAATATCTGACATAGAAGAAGTTGTACACATATAGACAAAGGATGTGTAATCTATTCTGTTTTAGAAATTTTCTTCTTTTCCGAAATGCTTCGCAATTAATGACATTTATCCCCATAAATTTTGCTATTCACTCAAAATTTATCAATAAATTTTTTTAGATAAACGAGATAACAATAATTCTAAAATATCCCGTATACTATTATTTATGTAAAAGTTTTATAGATCATGTTTTAAACTGTTTGACATAAGTATTTTAGAGGTGTAGTTATGCGCGCTCATTATACATGATTCCGCGATTACGAGGGATGCCGCATAAGCGCCCGTAAAAGGGAAAGTTTGCACGATTTGCGTTAGGTCTGCGCGCGGGGAGGGAAAACCGCCGGATAAGGTGGACCACTTGGTAGCGCTGTTACTTATAATTAGAGCAGCCAGTCGCTCTATTTCGGAACAGTTAGCAGAGCGGAGCTAACAACTTAGTAGCAATTTTTACTCATTAAGGTTCCCGAAAGGATCCTTGAGATGATGTAGCGCAAAAAGATGAAAATCCCTCTGGGGACCAGACAGAGCCTGCCTGACAGAGAAATTACTTACCCGTTATCGCTCTTTGCATCGCTTTTTTTTTGGAACAACATTATGCAGCCGATAGAATAATAAAAAATCAATTTAGAAATAACACTAACCTTTCGGCTGTTCCCATCCTTAGGATTCAGGTCCGAGGCTACTGTCCCGAAAATGGTTGGCTGAAAAAGAAATAACAACATTCGTTATTACATCATCGTAGCAAAGCACACTTATATACACAAGACACACACACACACACACACACATACACTCAAAAGATAGCTGAAAATATAAAAATGCCATATGTGGTGATAATTAGTAACGAGAAATTTTAATAATATCCATATATATATATAGTATAATAATATTATGTATGATAATAATTATTATGAAGATCCGGAATAAAAAAAATTAATTCTGTAAAAAAGAATAATCGTTGATGAAATTTCCAATAATTACACGGATTATTAATGTAACAATTAAAAAAAATTATGATCAATTAATATATATTCGCGCTTAAAATTGAGCTGACTCTGTAATAATAATTAAATTTTAACTGACGAGGTAACTAGGTAACATAGGCAACACAAGAATTAGTTTATAATTAAAATTGAAATAAAATCGGTCATAATTAATATAAATTATCAAATATGGTTCACCTAAATTTAACAGTTTACATTAAATTTACCCGTAGCACTTCTCTCCTGTATTGTTAATTACAAACGGAATTTGCAATCGTAGTTCCCGTGCAAATCTTTGCCACCGACTAGGAATTCCTAAACAAGCGTGCATATAGACATCGTGGTAATTAATTCTGTTGTCGATCAGTTATATATGTAGCTGGCAGCAGCTACTGTGATCAGAATTTATTTTTTTCCCGTAAAGCAATTTCTGAGTAATCTATAAATTTATAATTTTTGTTTTAATCTGACTTTTTCTATGTAATCGTATTAAAGTGCAAGCATCTTGCAGCTGGCTAAACGAAAATAGATGCTCCAACAACCATCGGTAACAGTAAACTGTGCGAAACTGGCGGCGAGCGTCGCATTTCGTGCGAAATTGTCGGAGCATAGCACGGTCGCGTAAAGCTACGAATTACAAAATGTCACCGTAAAATCACAGCGCTTCGTAAATTCAGAGATGACATCTTGTTCGATAGTTGCAGTTCGGTCATTAACTGCTCCAGACCGACAAAGTGCATAAGCTGCGCGACTATTTAAGTAGAATAAATAAAATAACACGACACGTTATATTTTAAATACGATTAACAAAGAATACATATGAACGCAGATAAAACATTAATTTAATTGCACAAGTTTTTATGTTATGCAAATTAAAAAATGTTACTTTATTTTTATAATATGCGTTTATAATATGCGTTCAATAAAAAAATATTAATCTTTATTGTAATATTATACGTTCACGTTACGAGTGAAAAGTTTTGTAATTATGAGATTTTAGAATAATATTCTACATATGTTGAATAATTCGCAACAATCCATAATTTTTCAAGCAGAAAATAGACTGTAATATATCTGCTTTTATACAAAGCATTTTCCATATTTCAGTATTTGCGATACTTTATATAACTACATTTTTCTCCGCTATTTTAATAAATTTAATTATTCTGCTGCTAACTGCAAGCAGGATAGATTTAAAAATTAAATCAGATAATATTATTTTATACTTTATAGACGTTTTATTAGTTTAACATAAATATATATTTATATTAATAAATATATCAGAAAGTAAATGCATGTGTGAATATACACGCACACACATACAAAGTTATCTTTTTCTTTAGCGAGTATTATACGATGTAATAAAACTTATGATGTAATAAAACAATCGTTGCGTTTACAATGTTAATTTTCCAAAAATTGTATCACACATCATTACAATTATTCGGTCATTCGCGGTCGAATCATCTCGCAACGTTAATTTCGATAAATTATTACACCCGATCCCACTAAACAATTTACACATTTAACGCGCCACACATTTTACACGATTACCGTTTACAAATTTTACCGTCAGGCTCCATTGGCAACGAATCATTGACCGTTACCCGATTCGCTCGCTTAATTTCAGATCGACCGAGCCACAGTCAATATTTTATGAAGCTTAATGAAAACTGTCAACGCGACGACAGCGCTAATAAATAAAGCGGTTTTTTATACCCGACCGGTGATACGGGTGGTCGTTCTCTTCGAGTTTTAATGTATCGTCCGTTGCAGTGAAATTAAATCGCTCATACGAAGTGACGCTCCGAAGTCCTTCGTGTATGTGCGAGCCAGATACGCGTGCCCATGTATTTATGGACTATGCGATAAAAAGAAATATTGTCCATTACCGTCGCTGCCATCTTACGCCAATTCATGCTCGCAGTGATAAAGGAAACTTTTTTTTATTGCTAGATAAACGGCAATTATTCGTTTAATAAGTTTAATTTCGCGAATGTGCATTAGCTGACGACAAAAGGTAATTGTCAATTCAGGTAGCAATATAAGTAGCGAATATGTGTACGTAGTGCTAATTAGTAGTAGTCTCGACTAGTAGTCATACCATCATGTCAACTGCATATTTTTTCATGCTCGCGAAAAAATCAAACAATTTCTCATTTGTCTTTATTAACAAGAAAATATTTTTTTTGATATATAATACCATTTTATAATGCGTTGTCTATTTCACACACTATAATAAATATATTTTTTAATATTTCAGCATATAATGCAGTCTTAAACAAATATGACGGAAATGTGATCGCGTATGGTTTTATTAATGATTGTAAGTATAGAATCTATTCAGCTTGTTTAATATGTATGAAAGATATCTGGAAATATTTTATATTTAAATACTATTTCGAATTTTATTGCAGTATTAAATGGGCGCAAGTGGAATATCAAGATTTTACTGCAAAAAGTTGAAATAAATAAAGGTACAGATATAAATGAAGAAGATGAGATGCAGATTAGTTTCATTATTAATTTATAAGATATACTAAAAGCTAATTGAGTAAGTACTTTCCTAATTTTATTAAAGATAAAAATAAATTTAAATTTAAATTAAAAAGTTAAAAACTGTAATATAAATTTAGTGATATCTAATAAATTTCAACTATATATGAATATAAAATAACGCAGTACATTTATATTTTAGTAAGATTTGTAAAATACAAGAGATTAAAGATAAATTCATATATGGGCACTTTTTATAAATACAAAAATATACAACTCGAATTTTGCTTTTTATACTTTTATACATTTATCTATTTAGGTAAATCTAAAGAATTTCATAAAAATAATTTTTGTCGTGTTTTTTAATATAAATAAAATAAAAAAAATTAATTCTATAAAATTTGGTAAACATTTAATTGTATAAAAAGGTAGTTATTTTATTTATTCTCTCTATTATTGATAAATTTTATTAATCTTATTAATATATAAAGCATAACAAAAATAAAAGTTTTATTTTAAATCATAAGTCATACAAAAAAATATACAAAGTTGAAAAAATTTATTTGAAATATTGTGAAAAAGTACGTTATAAGATTAGTCCAAAAATGATGCAGAGTTTAAAATAAAAAAAGCAAAAATCGAAAGTATTAAAGATAAAACAAATAATATTAAAGATCACACATATAGTGAGATTCCAGAAATATTTTTATAGTCATTTAATAATTATGAAATCTAAATATTTTAATAAATTTTTTTTATTTTAAATAACCGTCAAAATAACCTTCGCTCTCAAACTATTAAACTGTCAGAATAATCGAAATAACCAATCAGCGACGCGGAAAAGTGTCAACAATAAACTTCGAGACTTTCGATACATTCGAGTATCGATCTTTCATGTATTTTTTAAGAGTGGACTAGAACAATACAGGCGCGCGCTGTGCGCGCGCACTTATTATAGTAATTTAATAATTAGAAAATCTAAATATTTAAATAAATTTTTTTTAATTTTAAATAACCGTCAAAATAACCTTCGCTATCAAGCTATCAAACTATGGCTGCGTTCCCATTTCGTCTCACTCAGTGCAGTATCCAGTGACCGTCATTTTGCTGGATACTGCACTGGAAAAGCGTTCCCAAATTACTGGACCAAATATTTGTTAATCAGGACGAAATGATTTAGTTCCCATTACCAAATATTTGGTAATAGTTACTAAATCACTTCGTCCTGATTACCAAATATTTGGTTATAGTTACTAAATTACTTCGTCCTGATTACCAAATATTTGGTAATAATTACTAAATCACTTCGTCCTGATTACCAAATATTTGGTAATAATTACTAAATCACTTCGTCCTGATTACCAAATATTTGGTAATAATTACTAAATCACTTCGTCCTGATTACTAAATATTTGATAATAATTACTAAATCACTTCGTCCTCATTACCAAATATTTGGTAATTAGGACGAAATGATTTAGTTCTCATTACCAAATATTTGGTAATTAGGACGAAATGATTTAATTCTCATTACCATATATTTGGTAATTTAGACGAAATTTTTTAAGAGTGGATACAACTTGACAGCTTGAGGTAATGTAAACAATTGTCATAGAAACATTTATAAATTGTTAATCAATATTGCCTTGTCAACCATTTAAATATAAACTGTCAAAATATATTTTTTGCTCATGACATTGAGATAACCAATCAGCGTCGCGATAAAACTGCAACAATACACTTCGATACTTTCGAGATTTCGATATATTCGACTATCGACTTCTCATGTCTTTTTTAAGAGTGGATTACGTAAAACAAGTTTAGTCAAATTTAATAAAATAATATATGTCAATTTACAATATAAAACATAAATTCGTAAAATCTCGTATATATGTTTAAAATGTTCATGGATTATATCATTCATTTAAAATTTGAATAAAAGTTGATTTTTGCACGACAGTGTACTGATGTATTAATCCCTCGTTTAACTACATTACTAAAAGTTTCCATCTTCTACAAGCTTTTAATTTATTTAGGCTCAATGAGCGTCATTACAATGAAATTCAATTTAAATTTGCAAGGCGTCCTGCATCCCGGCTGAAATTATAGAAAGTTTGCCTCCGCAAAATCGAGTGTCACCAACAGCAGCAGCAGAAACTTCCGATATCTTGCTAAAAAATCGAGGGAGCAAAATTACTTGGCTAACCTTATGCTCAAGAAGC